GTGTCTGGCTGACAAGTTTTATTGTTGTGGTTATTCATATTCAGTATCTACCTTGCTTTATGGCCTTTTAATTCTTGCAGACACGCCCCAGTGGTAAGATTCCACAGAGATATAACTGAACCCGTTGCAACTGCTATATGGCCCTGTTTTATAAAAAAAAAATATGAATCAATACCTAAAAAATCTGGAACTGATCTAGTGTTCTAAAGATTGTACTGTAGTCCCAATACTTTAGCAATTTATTTCGACTTTTTTAAGCAACATTTTTAAACCAAGACGTTACCTGATCGAAGCTAACCGCTGTAACTGCAGAYGCATGAGAATGACCAGCGTGCACAATCCCAACGCATGCGCCAGACACCACGTCCCATATACGAACCGTCTGCAAAACAAAATGTATTTAAACGTTGAGCCCAAGTTGACAGTATTAACAAGTCCGACTGTACAAATTTTGCAAAGAATCTCGATCCTCCCCTCCCTCACTATATTAAGTCTTACTCTATCGGCGGAACCAGTGAATGCTCTGGTAGCTTTATCATCCAAATCCACACAAAAYACAGAACAGGTATGCCCAAATAAGGTGCGTATCTGTTTGCAYTGTCGTATATTCCATAGTTTTGCCTAAAATAAATGAAATGACGTTAAATAATCAACCAATCACAATTCGATATTGGATCATGTGACATACGGTTTTATCGCCCGAGCCGCTGACCAATATATCTTCCTTTCKTTCGATTGCCCAAACTGGTGCCTCGTGACCGAGGAGGATTCTGGAGCAAATRCCAGTACGAAGGCTCCACACCTAAATATGGACACAGTGATTTTTTAATAATATTTAATTTGATATTCAAATATTTTGGATTGCAAATAACCATTACCTAGCAAAGTAAATGAAACTACGAAAATCCACTTACCCTTATACTTTTATCGTACGAACCACTGATAAGGATGGTCGGTGACAGGAATCTTAAACTCCAAATACCTCTCTATAACGAATACAAAATTGATTAATTATAAGAACGCTTTCATTTAAAAGCCATYGTGTTTCCCTCAGTCTTAGCTTGGTTTATTCAGGCAACCAAGAGAAGCATACTTAATTTTCCATTTCTTTTGAGATATAATTAATCATTATTTAGCTTACCGTATGTCCATTTAAAGTCATTAAAAGGCTTCCAGTATTTGCGTCCCATATCCTGAAATTATCAAAAACAATTAGAAGTTAGTTCAATGCAAATGGAATGACAAGGAGCAGAAACAAGATACTGGTAGCAGAAATTCCCCTTTTTCTATGAAAGATGAGGTATTAAACGTACTTTATACTCCTRTCCAAACTTCCACTTGCGATTGTATCTCGGAATTCACATACAGAGAGAACGCTGAAAGTTGAAATAAATTATCTTCSTTAGAATAGGAAATTTTAGGAAGTCGATAGATAAAAGAGTTCAGGTTTAATGCGAACTTCGCGGTGCGCTTTCAAGAATGTGCAATCATTAGGCGCTCATGTGTGCTCTTCCTCGTGCTCTACGGTGGTACTTCGTATRCGCATTGGTAGCTTACTTTTTAGTATGTCCAGATATATCCATCACTCTACATTCACCGTTCGCCCAGTTTCTTTTTAGTTTTAAATTTTGCTTGAARGTTTCCTTCCATATTGTTGGAACTCGAAGTGGGATGCCTGTTTCGTAAGGAAGAATACTGTAAGTTCGAGCGCTTTTGATTATATAGCTGTCTTTACAGTACGTGTGTGTTTATAGTACAAGATCCAAGGATTTATTAAAAAACTTGAATTCCAGGCGGCAAAACTATCTTTTTTGCAAGCCATTCGACGAGAACGTCATCTGATGACATGCTAAGAGATTTGCTTAACTCTTACCAACGTAAATTCGACTACATTTCGCCAACCAAAGCTCGTTCCTTGATGACATTTGCCGCCATGTTTTGCTTACCTTTGAATAACAAAATACGTCCGATTAATAAATGCTTAAAAAAAACAACAACAAAGAATACAAAATACGAATGTATATCAGAAACGCATAGCGACTTTTGATTAATCGTTTTCGATTATTCCCATGAGCTTTAAAAGATAAAGACCGCGGCGGCCATGTTGTAGGAATGAACAATAGATACTAATGAGAAATCCTTTGTTGAAGTTCATCCAAGATGGCCGTTGTGACGTATAGTGAAAACGAAAATAGGGATACTGGAAAATTGTTTTTACTACATATATATTATTTTACGGACGGTTTTGTTGGCCTGTTCCGTTTAAAAGGGTGTCGGCTTTACGATAGTAAACCTACCTGTGCAGCTATAAGAAGCTCTGAAGGTGACAAATAAGACAAAATTCGTAAKGCCAAGTGGTCGGGTAACAGAGCAATGAAATCACGGTATTGTCGAACCTATAGAAACATTGCATTGYGTTTAAATGATTAGAAACAATCACAGAAAGTTTTTCTTATTTTTTTTTCTGTCCTCCGTTTCAGATGACTTGACATCATGAGTGCGCCTCCAAAGAAGGCTACTATTTAAAAGCGGAGCTGATATAATACATATTCTCACCGCTAATAGACCGGAAAGAAGATAAAGCTCCGCAGGCTCCAGAACTCGCAGAAATAACCTCAGAAATTGATTACGTTGCCACCCTGAAAAACAACGTTTGTAAGCGATTTCCTGCAGCTATTGCTTTGAGATAGCTGTATGTTKCCTACCGTTCCATCTTTCTTCAAACCATTGTACAATGGACTGTGCRTTCTCAGGTATCGAGGATAGTTGTAGTGCTGTATTGTTGTTCACATCACTTGAAGATCGATTCTAAATATATAAGAAATATGGCATTGCTTTTATAAAAATAAAATAAATTGTAATCATTGTCTCTTAAAGTTGCATATAAGAAGTGGAACCATGTCTTCCTCGCGATCTCGCGGGACAAATAATTGAAGGGTTTCTTTCCTTATGTGGCGATTAGCTCAATCGACATAATGTATAACCTCTTTCTCAGTAGTAGTCTCAATTGCTTTTTCATGGATTAAGCGTCCCCTCTTCCCGACCCTATTTTCAAGTTYAGCATCACCCATTCCTATTGCACTTTCTAACAGTAGGACAATGTACTCACTCGATGCGACGATCTTTTATATTCTCGACCTACTGGGTTTTGCATACTTGGACAGGATTTTGACTTGTATAGGCGTCTCCTATAGGAACGAGATTCAATATAATTAAATGGCAAATTAAACGTAATTATCATTGCTTTTTTCGAGTTTGCTTGTTTACACGCGCATCGTTCCTCTCATGCGGACTAAGAACCAACTTTGACTGATATCTGAGCCAAACTGATTGTTTCCGTACCATGTGTAAGAATCAGTTCTTGTTCCATTCTCACAATTCACGGTTCCTTTCTTAAAGTCATCTTGCATGTGTCTTCTAATAGGGTGATGTGAAGATGTCTTGGTCATAGTTGGTGGTGCTGACTTTGTGCTATAATTACGACATGATCTGGAATTGGCTGGTCCTGGTGATGATATTCCAGGAAGACGAACACCATAATAAGTGGTAAGGCATTTCCAGGCGCCTTTGGGTTCAGAATAGGGTGATCTACAGAGCATAAACAAATACAAAAACACCAATGGTACTATATTTTGTTGGTAGCTATATGCTCCAGCTGGGTGTGGAGGGTGGTTTTTTGGATGGCTGGAAAGTGGATCCAGAGGGTTTGAGAAACCAGACAACTGGCAATGAAACTGAAAGTCTAAGGTTTCATGAATAGGAATTACCATGTCAGTAATGGCATGACAGCTGTACCATCTGGCAAATGTCTTCCAAATAAACCACTGTGATTATATGATACTTTGCTAGTGCATAATTAGTATAAGATAAGAGTCGTTGACTTACGGTGTAGATTTTGGGGTTCTTACTGGCGATACTGATGGTTTTACAATGGGAAGGACAGACTGTGAAGACCATTGTCTGACTTCCTCCTGAAATGACAGATGGTTAGTATTAATAATGTGTAGATTAGTATTATTATCATTAATTATCAGATAATAATCCATTATTCAAAATTTGCTTTGATAGTTTCAGCTTAGTAAAACAGTAGAGCCTAATGGACTGTACGTCAGCTTGTATATAGTCCATTTGACATTGTGGTGGTGTAATAATAACAATATTGATAATAATAATTATTATTATTGTTGACTGTATATAAAAGCTGTTAATGTACTATTAACTTTACCTCATCATGAAGTATGGCACTGCTTAATCTGTGAAGCTTCCATGTCTGCAAATTAAAAAAATAAAATAAAATATTTCACAAAATATTATGCAGGCATAGTGAATGCTCCCTTCCATATTATTGCAGTGATTGTTCTTACCCTATATCTTGGCTTTCCAAGTTTCTTGTGCACCTCTCTAGGTATCGGTATAGACACRGGGCTGAATGAACTCCTTGGGAAAGCATTCAGTGAACTGTACATAAAATCACGATGAAGTGTTGGCTCGACCACCTGAGAAACATCAAGAATGCATGAAATATATATATTTTTGATTTTTCTATAGGTTAACAACCAGGACCACACCTATTTTTGTTGTGGATGGGTAGGGGAATGGTATGGGGATGTTCTGTTTCCTTAGTCCAGTCCAAGACTCCCTTTTTATCCGATCTGTTATATTCCTGGAGCAGGTCAGAAGGAAGCCAGGACTGGAATATCCATTTCCTTTGACCAGAGAAAATCAAATAATGAGTTATGTACTAGTAAAATAAGACAGCACCTCAGTCAGAAAATAAACATATGGAGGGAATGGGCCCAAACCTTTCTTCAATATTCAGTTCAAAACTATTTTAAAATATTTATACATTGTATTACAATCTACTGGAGTATTGGAACTGCAAAAAAAAAACATAAGTTTATAGGGGTACTGGGCTGTGTGTTGTTTTAGTTTAGCAACACAGAGAACCCAGAAACTATTATTACATTAACTTAGGCACAGGGATCCCGAATAATGTATGTACACTTACAGTCCACAGGAAGTTRATCTCTTCACATCCACATCTTGGCAGCAAAACTTCTATTACATTAGCTCTCTGAAATTGTATGATAAAGTGATTTTTTAATAGTACAATATGAATTATTGCACCGATTAATTTAGGTGAAAATCAGGAGAAAGGAACTTTATGTGAATGGTTGGGATGATGAGAAAAAGAGAGAAAAGAGGGAATTTAACGATTCGATTAACTAGTATATATTTTAACTAATATTATTTACACGAAGGGTCTCTTTTTAATGAAAAGAAAATCACAATTAAATCATAAAGACGGAGTGCAAACAAAAATCTTCAAATGAAAAGACGTCTATATATTTAATTCCTGGATACAAAACAAACAAATGTAAAACGTTTTARGCATTTGGATTACTTTAAGTCCTTTTTCAATAAAGGATGAATCGTTAAAAAAGGRATAAGAACGARTTTATACCGCCTTTTCTGTTAAAACAATACCTCTAGACAGCCTTTCTGTCTGCCTTTGTTTTTTAGAGAGTGAATCATTAATTGAACTTTACTTATGCAGATTTGTATCTCATCTGTTAGCTTTCCTACTTCATATAACGGATTTTGCTTTAAAAAATTTACTTAAGATATGATTAAATCCAGGGAAATATAGAAATTTGTTCAAGAGCACAAAAAAGGGCCGAAAAAAAACACAGCAATTTCAAGGGCATTTTCAATTTATGTGTGTTGCCAAGCGATATATAACAGATTGGTATAAACTGTCATAAATGTGTAAAAATCAAATATAAAGATACAKTTACTTTACTTTTACTCTAGAAAAACCACTAAGAATTTCTAATACTGATAGTCAAAGATTACATCGAGAATTTATAACGTCAAATGTTGATGTATGACTGTCCAGTGATAACCAAAATATTGAACTCGTTTCTATTTTGAAATCATTAAACACGTCCACAGCCAACACTAACTTACGATTTAATGATCAATTTGTTTGAACTAAAATTGAGARCATCATACCTCGCGATCGGTCCAAGCATCCAGCCATTGGCAAAGGTAGTCAAGTTGCTGTTCAAATTCAATAGTGCTCATATGTTTTGCGAGTGGGGAATTGAAGAGCATGGCGTTCGTCGCGCCAACCCGTGAGATTTATATTAACTAACAGAGTCTGTTATCGGTAAAACAACCCATCAATGATAAATGTCTGCTAAACAGAAGACAGTTGAGGAATTATAATAATCCAGTTTGTCGTCATTATCACCTGGTCATCAACTTAGAAAAGCATGACTTTAGGAAACCATTTTGGCTTTTGTTTGGCACTTGAATGGTTTCTCGATGGCAACCATCAAAGTGAAGCGCTTTGTTGCTAATGTGTGGTCGATTACGTGACACCGTGACGGCAGTCACGGGCCATTAACATTTACTCTYGACAAAGAAAAGCAATAAAAGCTGACAAAACAAAGATCTATATATGCTGCTAATAGGTTTTCGTTTTACATAATAGAGATGAAAAAAGATGATTTTAAGCGGCATATTGTTTGTCATTGAGTTGACAAATTTTGCTGGAAAGACGGTAGCAAATTTACTAAATGTAAATGTTTGCTTTTTTTACTTCGTTCTTTTCCTGTTGTATTTAAGAACAATTGACAAACAAATGTCAGTTTCAGTAATGATGCTTCATGCAATCATTGTCATCAATTTGACGAAGACATATTTTCCCCAGGAACTGTCTGAGAAGATGTTACTGAGTTGCAACCTTTCGGCATTTCTAGTCCTGCAGACAGGGTCCTGGGGCAACACTAAGGAACTGAACAAAGTTATTCTGAAGAACGAACAGGACTCTTTCTTTCCCATTCTCTCTCGACTCATTGCTAGGAACGCCTTCAGGCAGGCAGTGATGATGATGATGATGCATATTCAGTTGATGACAAACATCCCTTGTAAATTTACCATGGGCAAATATTTCACATATGAACCCCGCCAAAAACTCCTTATAAACCACGCCAAAAAAGCCATAGCCATTGAAACCCGGTTATACTTTGGTTATATATATATATATATATATGTATAATGTACAAGATGACCATGGCAACATGGTATCTTTAACAGATTTTCGTGAGATGTTTATATATTTTAGGTGCTGCAAATACATGACGTATTTGAAACTGCTTGTCAATGATTATCACATGCAGAGTTATTCAGTCAACTCTATTGGACGTCAATTGTTCTAGTCTCGCAAATATAAATACATATCCGCAACGATGGAATAGAATTATTTTAAGAACTTCTGCATAAGATTATAACGTAATGTTTGTGTTTTGTACTATATAACTCATTAGGAAAACGTTCTTGTTCTTTGCTGACAGTAACATAAATGCACTTTTTTTTTCACTGAGAAAACATTCAATAATTTGCTATGGAAACCAATATTTTCTTATTCATTCTAAGTTAAACATTTATCAACTTAATGGAAAACATATATCTTGAAACTATTGCTTAATGCGTTATCCTGAGATTTCTTCGGGCAACTTTACATGTCACCTAGCCAACCCAGTTCACTACGGTCGATTAGATAACTGTAATTTTGACAGGCAATCTTGTGTTTATTTACATGGGAAGTTGTCTCTAATGTCATGGAGAGACTYWRGKCAACAATACAGTGGTACACCTGCGGTCTAGCAACCATTGTGTAAAGGGGATTTAAATATGAATTRCAATTACTACTCTTTTTTACTGGAAGACTACAAGAAAAAGATGGACCCAAAAACCGATGTTATAACAATTCGGAAGGCTATTGCKCAGAGTATTGCTAACGAATCTTTTCGAGTTCGGCAGCAATTTCGACATGAAATGGCACGGAAACGGAGAGAAGAACTCGAAAACCAGAGAAAAATGAATCGGAAAATGAAAGAGATTAAAGAGAAAGAGAAGGAAATTGCTTCAAGGTTCAGGATGAAAAATTCTTATGGRCATCTTCTTGGCACAAATGCAAAYTTAAAGAAAAAGTCAAAACCTAAAGAAAAACCGCCTGAAGAATCTATAACTGTACTTCTACCTGTCATAAAGAAAAACGATATTGAATCAACGGACGATATTCGATATGAATCACACTCAATTCCTAAGAAAATGTTACCAAGAGGCAAAGAAGATATCAGTGCWTATAAAGTTGTCAAGAAAACRAASGATTTGTATCGGAAATAYGGCGAAAGTTACTCAAATGGTGTCAGCGATGGGATTGCACAAGCAAAAACACTCGAMCGTTTRGCATTGCAAGAAACTGTAGATCCGTTGGACGATWCCGATAAAAACGARGTCTCTATGCATYTAAATCCTAGAAAATWCAAAGAACCGCCAGTAGGTCATCATATGCAGAGCGTAAAACGCAATTACGCGTCGGAACCTCATTCTGTTTACCGAAATTACCATTATGGACCATCTTATGATAATATTTTGAACTATTATAGAAATGGAGGGGGATTATACCGAGATGAATTGGCAGTCTTTGGAAAGGCGAAAAATGCTAGCAAATATGAACTTTTGATAGTCGATGAAGGCCCGAGAACTGARGAGATAAGAGTGAAGCAGAGAACTGTGCAGAATCCTCGTGCATTTGATATTTTAACGATTAAAGAAAATATWAGAAGTACGACACCAAATGACTGGTAATGATCTGATCCAAAAAGTATCTTTGCATTCAAACGACTCTGATTGTTATGAATTGAAATCCGAAGTTTTTTATCTGTATATAGGTAAAGAGAAATCAGGTGAAGAATGTGAATATATATGAATAAGAAGGTTTTTTATGTTATCACCAGTGATAAATATAATATCTGCAATCACATAAAATACAAAAGAAAATTATTTATATTCATATACTGTAAAATAAAAAAATTTCGAAGAGGAGTTTATGTTGAAACAATTGCAGTTATATAACATATATTTTAAAGTTGTTTGAAGCCCAACAATTTATAGAAGCATTTATATACATGGAATTGCAAATCTGAATTTAAATCATTGCACATCGAAGGAAAATAATATAAACTATTTATCAGGACTTGTAAAAACTATCAAGTTTCCTTAGTTATGTCTCTAGATTGCAGCAACAATACACTGAGAGAATTTTAAAATCGTAGAATTTTAAAGAACACTCGCAAATTCTTCGTATGCGTGTGTGTATGATTTGTATAGCAAAACACCTGTGCCTGAATGACAACCCGCATTTTTAGTAGCCAGAACTTGAAAGTCTTCGTTACCATCGCAACAGCTACGTCATGCATGCAATATCAATTGAGTTGAGTAAAATTTTAGATCGTTTCGTTGATTAAATGATGTAATCTAGCGAATTTTTGATTTTTGATGAACGGACATTGCTRCCGTAATTATCAGGAAATTTCATACAAAAAAGTTTCTCGAAGTAATTAATGGCTATGTAAACTTCAGCCAAATATCAAGGGATAATGCCTAGAAGGCATGATATATACATAGTGATCGATATTCACCAGGAACTCCCATATGATTRTTTTGATGGCAGAATTCAAGATGGCCGCCATCGGCACGTTTAGATCCACGTGTTTGGTATAAAATAGATTTTTGATGTCCCTTGTAGACTTCTCAACTTTCAAGTAGTACATCAATGCATCAGAAATGGTATTCGCAGAATAGACCTCTGCAGCTTTTACGTCATGTACCGTATACGCAATGCATTATAGGACATGTTTGGGACAAAACATGGCGGATTTCTTTTGTTTTCTCTTGAAACTGATCCCACAATGCATTGAAAATCAAGTAGTGACGTAAAAGGTTCAGAAGGCTATTAAGTCATTATTTTTATTATCCAAAAATGCCTGAAAGTTCCTGAGCAATGATCACATGAGAATCAATATACATATCGTGTTTATTCGTGTAAATATTTGTGGAGAATGGGAGTAATGTTATGTCTCTGTATTCTTCTTTGTTGTCGGCTGCGTCAAAAGTGAAAGAAACCGCTTTGTAAAACCAATGAAAGTGATGCCTTATTGGTGTCTCTCTCCCCTCCCTCTTTTTCCACCCCGCCCCCTCGTCTATTCTTGTACACAAAGATTSCTCTTTATTTTGACGGGAAGATTTATTAAATTAAATAGGTTTAAGATGTTTTGATCCTTAATCATGAATAKGAAATAACTGGCAAGTAATTCCTGTTCCATCAGAAATTTCGTCCCATAAATACCCAGCCGCTTTATCACTGTTTCGGATTTATAAAGCATCGGTGTTTTTCTACGATATTCTGGACACAGTGATATTTTGTAATGTTCAGCAGAAGACCTAACCTTACAAAGCTATTATTAATTAGAACTCTAACTCAATTACCCATAAATACAATAGATTCTGAAGCCAAGGGATTCTCTATTCTCTTTGTTATCTTAATCCCTATTGTATTAATACAAAAGAGAATWAAAAACACATCCATCTTCCATAGTATTTAATGCATTATTTCATTAACAAACATGTATTATAGATGTTTTGACTGAGAAAAACGTCGAAAGAGCAAATTATATTAGTTTGAAGTTAACTTACTTGAGTCGACATGCAAGGAGTCGCGGAAATGTTGGTCCTCATGGCCGCTGTCATCTTCGTGTCCTTATTGAGCATCGCCATCAAGTTTTGTTTATTTAACTGTAAGCCMGAYCCTGGYACAAGGAAAACAAACTCTTTAGACATGTTAGAGSAAAATATTGAAATGGAAGAAGTTCACAACGACGATGATGGAACCCAGTCTGTTAAAATACTYGTACGTAAGCCATCATCAAGTTGATTTTGGATTTGATGTTATGGCGATTGGTGGAGCAATKAGGGACAATCGCGRATTAGTACATTCTCATCACAGCAAACATGTACGAATTTGGCATCTTTTTCAGTATGTCCTAATTTCTTAACTTCTCGTAAGTCAAGTCGTGTCGTTACAGGATATTAATGTAGTGGCCTTCTACTATTAGCTGCAATGACAATATATTTATATGGCTGAACGAACAGGTCCTCGATGGCTTTTGAGATTCCATCACAGCTTGTGTACATTTGTACTCTTGCTGCAGTAGCGTATTCTATATGTCATAGTATGGGACAATGGTTGGCGAAAGGAGAACCAGGCTCAACTTAGAATATTGGGGATTGACTAACTTGTACGAGGATGTACGAGTTTCTCAGGAGCAAATGTAATGTACATTAGTCTTACGCATAATATGCGATATATCTGAATTTATCACAATGGACTTATTCGACGATACGGTGACTATTTTAGTATAACTATTAAAGTTTTTTTTATGAGGATCGTAAGGTCACACACGTCATTCAATTCAGCAACAACAACAACAACAACAACAACAACAAAATAAGATGGGGTCACATGCGGAGATACCAGAAATTCTCTTGTCTACATATTATCTTCTGATAATCCATTCTTTGCTTTAATTTGCCCCCGAACGCCCCATAATTCCATGTTGCAATTCCAGTTTCTGCTGTATCACAACCATGTCAGTCTATCGTAGCATTTTCTTCTTCTTGTGAACTAAAAGTAAAAATCTTTTCATATTTGATCTCTACCGAAATCGGCCACCGCAACGTCGAAGTAGTCCATTTGATAATTGAAATGTTTAAATTCAAGTGACAATCGAAAGTCGGCGATGATTCTCATTGAAATTAGTTGTACAGCAATTTTAARCAGTGTAGTTCAAAGATTTGCTGAATCTTTATGTCACAATCAAAGTGCATTATGGATATGACTGAAGCTGCAGACTAGATGAATTGTATCCGTGTTGATACGTGGCTTGTTTGTAAGAAAATAACAGAGCTTTAATTATACAGCTGTTCCAAAAACTTTGAAATACTGAATAATGATGACTGATGCCGCAATGCATTGTAGGTCATACACTTGGTATTCAAAAGGAGTTTTTGTGGCTTTGGAGCGCCTACACCAGCTCCACGCAATCTAGGGTTGTTCAATGGGTAGCAGTTACACTGGAAAAAATCGCGCGCTTTAAAGGTTGTAAATTTGATGTAAATATGATGTAAGTGTCCAAAATTCTGTAAATTTGATGTAAATGATTTCCATTAAATCTTCAGAATTTTGGACACTTACATCATATTTACATCAGATTAACAACCTTTAAAGCGCGCGATTTTTTCCAGTTTTAAGTTCAGATTACCATTTTGTATCACTGCTTATGTGTGTGGGGTTTAATAACAACAATGCATTGCGGTCTCATGTAATGCACTTTACAGTATTCAGTATTTTTCAAAACGCTGTACTGGTGTTTTGTAGAATGCATATTTTGTACTATCGTACACTTCGGCCGCGATATGCAGTTTTCAGCTGTCTTGTGGCAACAAACCTTTCTTGAATGTGGTGTAAGCAATTATCATCATAAGGAAAACATTGTAAATATTTCATGAAGTCCACTGTATTCTTACAAAGGTGTAATGTATGTAGCGGATTACCCTGTACATTGCTTCCCGGGTGGTTAAACGTGCGAGATACAAGCGATAAGTTTTTGCGATACATCTTCGTGTGAAACGGATACAAGAAATGTTTCTGTTGCGAGCAAGTTTTTTTGGTGCTCGCGCTACAAACTATGTTGCGTGCGTCAGTATGCTTTCAACGTAGTTATAATCTGAAAAATATCGTAGCGATACTTATATTATAAGGCTCGCGCAACCAGGGGAAAAAGGGAAGGCTTAAACTTGAGATTTTAGTCTCATTAGCTTCTTCGTTTTTTTCGTCAAAGCTTCGAATTTCGGTTTACACAGTACTAGTGACTTAATTATACTTGTTCCAAAAAGGTTTATAGCTTTGCACATGAWATGATTATTGACAAAAATGACCGAGCCTGAAGACTTTTGCCTCTAGTGCTTTTATTCAGTCAATCAATCAGTCTGGTTTTTTTTAACTTTCACAATAATTGTCCTTTTGAATCAGACTGAAAAACAGACTATATCCTCACTTATTTGCATGTGTTGCCCCGAGCGAGTTTGTGATGCTGTTTTTCGACTTTATCTGTTTATTTTCGTAAATTTCTGTATTTTTTTATTCTGTTTGCGTTGTTGTCTGCCTTCTTTTTCATCAAGTTTGTTTAGTTTTAGTTTTAATCCTTTTTCGCTGCTTACTTCAAAGATAATTGTTTAGTACTTCTAACACCTTTTTTTATAAAAGACAGAGCCACATCTTCGTCGTTAATTTAAAACTCGTTAAGACATACTCCATTATGGTGTCAGTGTAAACTATGAAAGATTAACAATTGCTTTTTAAGCTTTACTCAAATGAACAAAACTTCGTTAAACCTGTTATGGCTCTGCTACGACTCCCTTGAGGAATACAATATTGATAAAAATCGATTTGAGCCTAAACAAAGGACAGATTAGCACGGCATATATTTATTCATGTTGTACTCAGTAAAGAATGTGGTGAACCGTTTGATTCGACGATAAGGCCTATAGCWGGTGATATATTCACTGACAGACGCATCATGAGTGTAGAACTTCAACGTTTAATTTAACCGCCAGTCCATTTGGCGACATGAGTTTTACAACGCGATTTCGTAGGACTTCAATTCGACGATTCTAGATGGCAGAAGGCCTGTTCTTCCTTATGATTGGACTTGTCAGTGCTCTTACAATCATTTTACTATTTTGTGAGTATTCCTGTAGAGGTGATGTGATTTCAAAATTTGACGGTGATAACGAGGAGAACGTTGCTGAAGAAGAGCAAGCGCTTACAACGAGCAATAATAGTAATAACAATAATGGCAGCCAGGAAGAAGTTGAGGATGCAGTATCTTCACCAACTCGTAGGATGTCAGAAGGTTTTGAACGTGTGTCTGGGCGTCGTTCAAGTGTTAAACTTCTACAAAGGCAAGAATCTACTACTTCTCAAGCCCCAATGGAAGCAGTTTGACCAGTTTCTTACTCAGATCCTAAGGAACTGCGTTGCATACTTTCAGTGAAGTTCACTAGTTAGCACATGTGCAGATCTGTCTTGAAAGGCCGTCATGATGGAAATGCTTACACGTTTTTTAGTATAAATCTCAAGAGCTAAAGTTAAAGAATTTGTCATACAAGCTATAAGGACAATTTAATGGCAAGTACTCGCGTCACCTAAGGTGTTTAGAACTTTATATGGTCTAATGGTGTCGCAAACTTTGGCCGTAATTTTTGCACCATTAACTTAATGCCATCCAAAACTAACAGACATAYATTTTGCGTCAAGGAACAATAATTTTTGACCAAGCCGCTCAGTGATACTTTATAACACATGTATGCCTAATTGAAACACTGTCGGGTTCAAAAACGCTTACATCATCAATGCTAATATCAAAMGGTAGCATGAGAGGCCACGAAATTAGTACAATATCATGTGTTTCGGTTCCTGAACACTGATCTTAACTGAATAATCATGTTATTTTGTATGAGAAATGTCAATAATGGAAATGTTCAGGAAAAATATATGACTATATGAAATTTTCAAGTACAAAAAAATCGCTGCGGTCTTAGTTGTATGATGTGTAGCATTTTTGAGGCCGACATATGWTGTATGTACATGAGTAAAAGCTACTTTGTAAATATTTAAACTTCTTGGAGAAATTCTTCGGCTCATTACGTCATGGGTGCCATATTGGATCGGTTAAATAACGAAGGCACGTATCAAACACCGAATCTTACATGTGACCAATTTAATGCAAATTAAAAACATAAACAAACGATTGAACTCATTTGAATTGACTTCTGCACGTGTGAGATTCGACGTTTGAAATAGGGTAACAAAGTATTCGGTGTCACAGGTTTCTTGGTTACTATAATCCATAATGGCGACGATGTTTAATTTTGAATGATACCAGATATCTTTAAAAATATATTTGTTTTAGACAAGGCTTCATCATTCAGATGTACTGGATGTCAGTTCATTACTGATGATTATTATTATTATTACTGAGTATCCCATGGACCACCTCGGTCCTAGTTTCTACTGAATAATGAGATTTCTCTCCATTGTCCAAGTGTCCATCGCAAATTGTTGCAAACAATACTTGATATAAAATACAATTAGAATAAAAAAAAATAGCATATATGATTGTTTTATAATCCGCATTCTTTGGATTCTTGGTGTGGGTGAGTGTAGAATGCATCTCAATATAACCAGAATCCTCTATGACCGTAATTATCGTACACAAATACAGTATGCATACGCCAGATATAAAGCATACCATATAGATTTCAATGGTATAGCAATACSAATTATAGAGATATTAACTTTAGCAGCTGCTGCTGCCTTCTGCAATCGCATCATTATCGTAGCTCACTTGRTTTTCGGCGAATTTTAATCGAATATCTTTCAATTGTTTTGATGCATTGTKCCTATTATTTGATGCTGTACCGTGCCTTGGTAAYTGTCTCAATTTATTCAAAGAGGCTCTCACTGTCTTAAAACCTCCGAAACACCAACTGAAGACGGAGCCCCAAAACATGAAGAGGTATAGAATCAGGAAAACCCATARAAACTCCATCGTGCGATATCTCTTCGTTCTGTTATGCGTCTGGTATAAAAGCCATCATATCAGATTCCACTGCACTTCTGAATGCTGAAATTACAGAGAAATCATTAATGCATATTTTTACTGGGCATAAACATTTCCATAACGAGAAGCATAATTATAAGTGTGTTTTCACTCGACATAAGCACAAGCATTGACATAAGCACTTGACATTAGCACGAGAATACCCTCAAATTGAACATGTTTACTCGGCCTTATGTCAGTGCTGTGCTTACTGCTATGTTTATGCGCTAGAGAAAATTGGGATAGATCTCAATCTAAATGAATGACTTCTACTTCTTGCATTAACAGGAAAAAAACGGTACCGAATTCTGCTGTGAATATGGTGGTTCTTTTTGGCTTGTAATCGATTCATCTAATATAATATATGTAATTCAAAAAGTTCAATAATTTCGTTTATAAAATGATAGAATGTCAAAAATGTTAAAATGATATTATTTACCCCAGTACTGGAAGTATCGTCAAAGATCTGTCGAATCAAAGCAAGTAATATGATACCTTTGAAGTGTCAGAACATTGGATGAAATGGTTCGACTTTTATATAGTATTAACCAAATGAWATACCACATAGGTTKTGATCGACTACATGATATTGGGTCGAAGAATCGCATCACTTGGCCTGGTTCATTTGACTTGTAAATATACTCGAGATTCAGATATATTCAGATATGTTCGAGTTCAGAGCGGCRAGCTACTTGGATTCCTCTTCAACAAAGATGCGTTCTTGTAGCGTTTATATATCGCTTTTTATTCACTAAACGATGGAGATAGCTTTCAATACAGAAACGGTATGAAAACGCATCAGGTGCGGACTGATGCATTGCTGATGCCAAACGAATATAGGTTGATTGACTAGTTGATTGGGCTAATAGTATAACTTATCATAAAATCATTACATGATAATGATTATACTTAAATCTGACAATTCTCTCATGATTTTTTCGTCCTTTTACGATCTTGATAGTGTGAAATTGATGTCTCGTGTGACATTTGTCACTATTACTCGCGTGACAATCGTCCAATGCAAAGGATATATAATGAGCAAAACATAGGGCATTATATAAGMAATATAGCCAAATTGAGCAATGATGTCATAAAATTCTCGAACTTACTGAAGACCATATCTTAGTACCTTAGACCTTGTGCCTCCCCCATACCTTATAAATTGAATCGCGTGATGCATTGTGGTTGCATTCTTAATATTATGCAATATCGTCTGGGTAACAGAACGATTCAAGGATCTTGATCATGGACAGCTTCACGTCCTTGATGTTATTGTTAATCGCTGCTTTGGTCCCTTCACTATCGAAGGCAAGTCAAAAAGAATCGTATTRTATTCGTTTAGATATGCTTATATTTTGAATTGATTGCTAATTTGAAATGTATCTAACCGGAAAAAAATCGTGCAGTAATTATATTTCCGCACACCATATTCTGTACAAATCCAGTCCTTATAATAAGCTTRTATTACAATTTACTCTCTCAAACAGACACTTTCATGTGTATTTCTTTATGGATGTTACCGAGTGCATATATGTAGATGTTTTGATTTGATCGTAGTTCCAGCTGAATTGTGTTCATTGAATTTGTTCAAAGCGAACTTCCTGTTCAGTATGTCCTCTATTAAATTTACAAAGATTCATTATAGAACGCGGCTAAGATGAAAGCAAATGTTATTGTTTATTTACTAAATATTTGGATGATATCATTTTGCAGGGCTTTAGTACCTTTTCYCCAACAAAATACATTTCGTCGTACACAACAAACGAAGACAATCAACACAAAACGATGTGTGAAGATGATTATTGCGATGATGCTGATTATAACTTATGGTGTAAGTACACAAACTGATATATTCTCAATCCCCAAGTATCCTTAACATTCTTGTCTATCTCACAATAATATTRTTTGCTCATGTTTTATGTACATTGTAATTATAGCAATATTGAAGTGTGATATGAATGTCATAATATTGTTTTACTTCTGTATGAAAAAGAAGACAGCGTTTGTTCACTTAGCCAGTCATGTTTATGGACCTTTTTTCTTTTGTCTACAGGGTTTTGGTTGTTTTTGGTTGTTGCTATTATTTTTACATCACTATGCTGTGGAGTTTGTTGTCGATTGCGTCTTGAACAAAGGCGCAGAAGAATATTAATACTTACTGGAGAAAGACCCAATAGCTATTCCTGTTATGGAACCACAGAGGTAACAKTGATTACATAGAACTCTTTCCTTTCAGACACAACAATACCATGGACGCCTGCCAGTACAAACATTACCCTCCTTCCCAGCCAGCTCCTTTACCAAATGGAAAATAGTCCTCCATAGCCACTATTGCTAAATTGCAGACACAAATAGACATGAAGCTCTCTGTTATAATGAAAATTGACTACATAGTAGTCAATACAGGCACAGTACACACTCTTTTGCTGGATTATTGCATGCCAAGTAATATCGCTATGTAATATGAATAATTATTGGACTGGGAAATGAAAAATTATTGCCCTGGGAACCAGAGGCTGGATTTACTCGTAAATCTTGATGCAGTAAATGAACTACAAGAATGAGTAAATCCAGCTTCTGGTTCCCAGGGTAAAAATTATGGGACTGGTATTTCCAAATACAATAATAATAGCAACTGGGAATGGAATTGAAAACTTGAACTAAATTTATGGGATTGTGGGATTTTTTAGTGGGATCTGGTCTAAATACAAAAATGTAAAGATGAGATTTTATTTACTGAGTCCAAAGGGCCTGATTCAAGTTGTCACTGAAATCTTTGTCTTTAAGAACAGAAAATCACCCTCCTTCCCCTCCCCAATTAAAGTGTTCAGCCCCTAATGTCATAAGTCCATCAGATTTCTTTTTTAATGTTTTGTTKCTATTTTACAGGTTATTGCMCCTGTAATATTAGCACCACAACAACCTGGATACAATAATTMTAACCCTTATGGATATCCACAACCCAAGCTACCAGGATACACACCTACAGCAGAAAACAAGGGGAAACCACCACCATATACTTAGCTTTACACTGGATGTAATATATGGATGGTAGGAGAACATCTATAGGAATAAAGCTTAAAGGATTGGTGATAGAGCGCCTAGTGGATCTGTGCAGCCCCCTGAGGTCTTGTGCTATCTTCTATTTTATAACAAATTTGTGATATGCTACTCATCCTTGAGAACCTTGCACCCACTTCTTCAAAGAGATCCAGGATCTGTTTATGTCTAGGATATGGATGTTAACTAAATTATAGGCCATTCTAGTTGATGATCATGCTGGGATTTTTTAAAATACTAAAAATACTACTTAAAAGTAGTCAAATAAAGGTCAAATTGTAGTATTTATTATGAAGACTTGCAAATTGCTTTAATTAAATTACTATATGTGTGCATATATCATTTATAAAGCAGTGCAAGCAGGCTTGGTGCTTCTTGCCCCAGTTTGTTGTTAGCTTACATTTCCTGATCATTGTAGTATGCTGTTGGTGAAATATACTATGGCTCTGTAATCAAATGGTACGTTGAAATAGGGAAATTTTTATAAGCATACACTAACTAGGCTATGTAGAGGTCATATGATAGACTTGTTTTCATTAACCAATGAAATAAAATATATAATAGTCAAAATAGCTATAATAATGTGTGATAGATAAGAAAAGAAAAGAAAAAACGTGTACAATAAAGACTTAATATAAAGTCTTGTACGCTAAAGAGTATTTTATAGATTAATGAAACTGCTCTTAGAAAAGCTCATGAAACTTTGTACTTAAACATCTGCAAAAATTTTATTAACACAAATTTGTCCAAGAATGTACATTGTTTTGTTAAAATAGGCGAGTTAAGTAGACCACTAATAATTTATGCAGTCAGGTAACATTTTGATCAAAGAAATATCATATATTTAAAATTATTGGATACGATAAAAAAATTATTATCCACGTAGTCAGTTAGTGTGTATTTTTCATTCTATTTGACAAACACACTTTGACTACAGAGATATCCTGATAAGAACTTTTCAGTTTTAATGTAAAACTAACTACAGTAGTTACAGAAAAATATGAACAAATAAACGTATATATATCATACGAGTCTAGAATTATATATCGTATTTACAATTATATTTATATCTCGTCTCCTTGACAACCGTTTCGTGACGTCAAACAATTGGTGACTCACGTCACATCTTTAAAAAAAGAAGTTGAAATTTTTGACGAATTTTTCGAAATATTCCCTATTTTTATGAAATATCGACCAGTGTCGGAACGAAGTCGATCCAACCGGTCAAAGTCGAGTGGACTACGACCAGTACCGAGTGACTTATGATAACCTAGGGATGAACCGGTGTTTTTCTTTGTTGTCGATATTTAACTTCCTTAGCACAAGATGTACAGCACAGATATTCTCCCCAGGCTTTGGCCGAACACCATTTGTACCGAACTGCGAAAATACATAGTCTTGACGTGTCGCCATAGCACTCGTATTTTACTGAAATGCAAAACACATTTTACTATTAGCGGGCGATCATGGAAATGTTTGTAGTAGACTCGTAATGAGCCGTTTTCTTTTTGCGCTTACAAAATTATCCAAGGTTTAGGAAAAACCTGCTGTTAATTGATAAGATTGTTAGCATGATAATGCGCGTGTTTGATGGGATGACACCCTCGCCATGCTCTCCCGAGTTCAAAACAACGCGCGCGCGCTTATCGAGATAAGAATTGATTAGATATGTTATAAAAATAAAACAGGAGAAGTACTGGAATTGATCAGCCAATCACAAAGTCTTTGAGATCTAACTAGTTCTGCCACCATTATATCGGAAGGGGGCGGGCGAAATTTTTTTTCTAACACACTTGTTCTGTAGTCAGACACATATATTCTCAGTTTGACATGATACAAGCTAATAGCAGCCAAAGTACGCGCACCATACGGGTTATAACATTACCAAATTTTGTCTTTGGGCACTTTCCTTGGTAGATTGTGATGTCATCTATAGCAGCATCACCAGAAAACCCATTGCCTCTTACTCCTTCAAAAATAATCTAGAAAATATTACATGGACGTTAGACTGGTTTTGAACGGACTGTGAGCGCTCCACAATCAGATAACTGGTTCATATATTGTCTTGTGAATCAATATTCCTCTACGCTTTTACGTCATGTACTGTATACGCAATGCATTGTAGAATATGTTCGAGCCCACAATGCATTGAAAGTCAAGTAGTGACGTAAAAGATACAGAGGTCAATTCTGACATGATTCGCTGATTCATGTCATGAAAACTACACCCTACATACTTCCTCTGTAAGCCACATTGCTAGTGATTTCAAATTTGACAGTATTCTATCTCCCACCTTGATTTCCACCCATCCCCTCCCTTCCCCAGAAGGACAACCTGTAACCCTCGGTCGCGGGAATACATATATACTCCAAAATCCATACATCTTGAAATTTGAGGTATGACGAGACTCTATCTTCCTCCTTGATTTCCATCACTCTCCTCCCCTTCCCCCACCCTCCCCCCTGCAACCGTCGGTCGCGGGAATACATACTTACTCTAAAAGCCACACTGCTAGTAATTTGAAGTCTGACGAGATTCCATCTCCCACCTTGATTTCCTTTCTTAAACCATAGTCTTTTATCACCAGCTTCTGTTCTTAGATATACATTAAGGGCTCCCATTCTTTCTCCCAGCATATTAAAGTAGAAACCCAGGCAGATTTTACTGATCTCTATAACAGGACTAATTAATTTAGCTTTGTCTCCCAGTACACGCGGAGCTGATGCTTCGATGAAGAGGTATTTTCCTATGGGAAAAAGATGTCCATTCAGTTAGAGTAAGCGCACGAAAGCCATAAGGTAACATTGAATAATTTAAGATTGAATTGATCTAATAGTCCAAACAAAACTAAGGAAAACAAAGAAGTTAGCAAATACTACAGTGGTAATAGTCTTCTATTTCTCCTTTACTCCGACAAAGGATTCATCCGGAACGTCAGTAAGTTTAGTTCTCCTACCTTTTACGGTGTAAAATTTATCTTATTTCACAGCTAAAATTCAATTTCATGGGTTTTATGCATTCACGCTATTTAGGGCTATTAGCTTCTTGCGTTGCGATTAGAGTGTTCTGAGGTTCCACACGTAGACTAAAGAAACAAACGATACGAGGAAGACTTACAGCAAGTGTACATATGAACGTGCCGTTACGAAAATAAGAACGATTGCAATAGGGATTATACTAGCCCTCAAAAGAGCAGCTCTAAAGAATGATTGACAAGCGCGCGCAACATAGAAGTGTACCTTTTTTTGTGCCGAATGTGTTATCTGTGTTGGGACCAGTATAACGACTTTTTGTTGTTCCACGTCCTACTAGCCAATTAAATTGATCCTCTTTGCGAGTATTTCTCCAGCGACAAAACCCAGCTTCGAATGTACAGGATAGATTACCAAGAACAACTGGAACTGAATGAAAAGAATGGATGTACAATTGAGTTAAAGAAAACTGAAAAACCGCGCAACATAACATCGAAACATCAGTAAGTTTCCTCAGTCCCACAATGTATCTCCCTCGCGTTATTACGAGAAACGACCATTATATATACTTACCATCAGGAACGCACGTTATCATATCACAATGGCCTTTCGTTGGTAACTTAGACCTCTCAGTACATTTCCACGATGGCTTACCATCCTTACTCAAACATTTGACGTTACGTGTACGGACCCCACGACCACATGTTTTTGAACACTATTTATTAAAAAAAATAGTACATTATTTACATATGGGTGACTATGCAAGGGACGCATGAGGGGTGGAGTTGTGGGATGGTGAATAGTGATTGCACGACCAAAAGGAATTGCAGGATTGAAGTTACATCTAATAAAAAAAGTCATAATCTTTCGGAGTACCTTTCCCCATGGGCCTGGTACCCACATTGCCTCGCATACTTTCCTAACACATTTTTCAGTTGTAGGAGGCTTCTTGCCTTTGCAGTTATAATTAAGGACTTGTTTTGGCTTTTGTCCGTAAGTCGACCGCTCGCAGAACACCCTACGTCTTCTGGTGCCTTCGCTACATGTAACTGAACAGCTCTGCCATTGGTGTGTTTTCCAGTGGAAACTGAAAAAAATATGAAACAGTTATAAGTAACTTGGATAGTTTGAAAATATGCTACAAAGAGTAAAGGTGAAAATAAAAAAAGGAGAAAAATGTGTAAATCGCAAAAAATACTGGTGAAGGATCATGGGAAAAATATCCGGTGCGCCATTGGGTCAGCGGTTTAGGCGCGAAAATTAAAAAAAAAGATGGCGGATTCTGTGAGGTTGTCAGATATAAATCCAATTGGCTTAAAAAAGGTAGGTTTCTATCGGGTTTTTTACTTATCAAGGGTAAATTATAAAAAAAGATGGAGTTCATTTTGTTTCTGTGAGCTTCTTAGCACTCAAAAACGTTGCTGTCTTGGATTTTTAGCGCATTTAAGCTTAAGTTACATTATGCAAGAGCAACGGTTTGGTTTCTTCTTGTAAGCAATAGAGACCATAGAATCAATCTAAATCTTACTTGATTGGACATTTATGGAGATTGCATTCCCTAGATGTTGGCTTGGGCTGAGTGACACCAAAGCAGAATATTTTCTTAACCTTCACATTATCCTTTTCTCTGCGGCATTCCAATATTCTTTCTTCAAATCCTAATTTCATTTAAAAATTATACAGTCACACCTATGTACAAACGACCAACGATGCATTTTTCTTAAAGGAGCATTGGTAAAGGCTTTTGATGCTGTCATGTTATATATTGTTTTGATATATAGGAAAGGGTGTGGTAATAATTCATAATATCCATTCACAATGTTTCCATCTGTCAGTTTTAAAATCGAATCTAGTAATATCTCCATTCATATAGCATAATTGGGATAATATAGAGTAATATTTTGCTTATATCATGATGTATTTTTATTTTTTAACATAAACAAAAGCTTGTAAGGGATTCAACGTCTTGACCACGCCCATTCATTATTTCATTTAGTCCCTATCAATAATGTCTTTATGATAATACTTCAGTTTATGGTTTCCAGCTCAATTATTTATATACATCATATTAAGATGAAAGTAGAGCTAATAGTAATATATTCCTTCATTATATCATTGTGATCTCAATGACTGTCTTCAATGCAAATGCAATTCTACCTTAGTTACAAGGTAGTACCAGGAAGTAAAGTGTCACCTTACCTCCGCCACAAGGCTTGGAACAATTAGTCCATCCCAATGACTTCCATTTATAGATAGTTGGCTGCTTGTTTGGTTTATAATATTGATATTTAACTGAACCAGACAACTTAGTCTTTAATTCTTTTCCTGAATTCTTTACCTACAGAACAAAAGCGAACACCTGATGTTACTTAGATTGTTGGTAAACTTCCTTGCATATCCATATTTGGTCATGGTATCAAGATGACAAGATAGATACATCACTTCAAATAGTAAGTTAATAATTGATTAGTATCCTAAGTTTCTTTATAGCAGTATACCATCTTATTAAGTTGTTTCTAAAAAGTGCATATATTCAGTATATCACTGAAAGCAAAGGTTTGCTCAATAAAATTGTCTAGATATTCAATGAATATTACCCAGAAAGTAGAGATTCCATCATCGTTTCTCACAGTAGTTAATACTTATAATATTTGAATGTTATAAAATACCTTTACAACTAGATGCTCTTTTATTGGTCCCAGAGCAAGTATCTTCTCAGTTTTATTATTTCGTGAGTAGACAAATTCAGTCCCACCAATGCTATACACGCCCGGTTCAGACATGTTAGCACCTCCATTTATGAGGGTTTCTGGTATTTCACCTACGCTTTCCACTACTACAGAACACAAAATAATTGACCACATTATTTAAAGCATCCATGTAAAAGAAGAACAATATATTCCTTGAAACTGAAAACATCTGTGTTGCTAAGGGCACTTGAAAACTTCATCAAGATTGGAAAATGCGCTAGTGTGGAGTATTCCTTGAACTTTTTGATTAAAAATGTAAAGAAGAATAGTTTTTTTATTGCGCAATCAATACGTCTGAATGAAGTAAATCTATCTTTTAATATCAACAAATACATAAACTGAAATATGAACATTACCTAAATGATGTTTGTTTGTGCTTAACGATTCTACCATGATGTTGGAAGCACCAACCGGACATTTCAGGACAACAGCTTCATCTATAAATAGAAGAAAAAGCAACTCTAGATCTTTTCCGATTTTCATTCTTCGACCGCATATCTGGCCGTTATAAGTGGGTTGCGGGTGACTGTAAGACGATGTTCCTCTGCAACTTTTTGCGGCGAATTAATACAATCTTGCAAAGTTCAATAATAAAAAATATATTCCATGAACATTTATATTTATCAGTATAAGTATACAGAAAATGGGGTCGTAGTTCAGACATTCTTTCCTTTACAATCTCGAAGTACCTTTTTCGGACAAAAGTTCGACCTTTCCTTTCTTTAATGTACATGTATCATTGATACCGTCACATATCCCACAGTTATCGTACAACATTTTAGAACCGATTTTACCATCGCATCCTACAACCTAAGAACACAGAATTACATTATGAATATGCTTTTAACAGAGTATACGTACAGTCGTACAGAGTATACGTACAGTCGTACAGAGTATACGTACAGTCGTACAGAG